TAGGGTATCAAATCTTGACGTTCCTATATAAGATAAGGGTACCTAATATCAACTCATAAAGCTTCTTTCAAAAAAATCAACTCCTAAGGGAAGGAAGGGTATCAAATCTTATCTTGAACTAATCTCAAAATTTAACAAAAATCAGCTTAGGGTGTGAAAGAAAAAAAAGATTTTTTTAGTTTTGTTCAGATGGAATCTTAAAAGGGTTATGAACGCATTGAAGAATATATCTTGAACAGATATCTTTCAACAGAAATGAGTTTTTCAATCAAAATTATGCGAAACAATTTTTTATTTTTAGTTTTATTTTTATGTTTTGCTTTTCTCCATGGGTTTTTATTTAGGCAAGATACTGTTTAGGCGGGATACTAAGCAACTAAAAAGTTGCCACGTGTCTATGTTAGTGGTAGTTGCTTTAATAGTATAATAATATAGATTTCTGTGTTTAGAGTAAATTGCAAATAACCCTCATACGTACATTCAGTAGTATTTCTCGCCCCGAAACTATTTTAGTAGCGCTTATCACTCCTAGATTTTCAGTTTGACTAGGATACAGTGCAAATTAACTCTCATTTCCTAAGAGATGAAGGGGTGCTAAACGGCACTAAAATAGTTAAGCATGATGAGTGTTGCTAAAGGTATTGGTTAATTGGATTATCGATCATCTTATTTATCTTCTAATCGGACCTTTTTACCTATGTTTTAATTGTTTTGATAGCGGGTTATGTAATTAAATACTATCCGGATTGCTAGTACCTTCTAATGCCTTTTGTCAATTTAAGTTGCATATTTTCATTCATCTTTAAGCAAGACAACTTACTTAATATGTCACAAATTAATGTTTTCAAGAATAAACTAACAAATACACTATGATTACCCAATGCAGCTTAGCCAACATGTAACATATTTTTATTTTCATAAGCGATCAAGATATCACACCTAAGAATGAATCCATTATGTGAAATAATCAAGACTTTTGTATGTCGTCACGTCACACAAAAAAATCAATTATGTCAATTGACGAAAAGTATTATATAAATGCAAAATTTCAGAGATCCGTTGAAGATGAGTTGTGGACCGACGGCCCAACGTCACGGCTAGCTATGCGACCGACACAACAAAGGGGAATCCGTAGTCCCAGCACACAGATACGTGATGAACCCAACTAATCACGATGAAAACGAACCGAAGCGGGTCCGAG